TGTCTAGACGCGATAAATCGATCCCGGAAGTGCTTGCCGTCGACGCCGGTACTCCAGCTCAGCGAGAGGAGTACGCGGCATCGACGGGGGAGCCTGCCTGCAGCGTCTGGACCCGCGGTAAGTTCGAACTAAGGTACTTCGAATTCAGCTACGTTATTAATGAAGCTGAATTTGCGTACCTTAGTTCGAAGTGGGGGGTTAGTGTGGACCAGGCCTAAGTCCCAGGCAGACCCCCCTGGGTCCTAAAAGGTATTTTCAAAGCACTAAGTAAACACTGTAAGTGGAAATCATGTTATTACATGTATGCCTTTTACTCAGTGATTTGAAAATGTCCCCATGGTGTAAATCCTATTGAGTTAAGAGAGAAGGATTTTAATTATAGTGGTGGCCTGGTGAGTTGTAGACACCTAAATTCTGGCTCTCACTCATTGGCCAGCAGACATACTCCAAGGGCATTGTCAACTTCTCCATTCAATGGTTCAGGAATGTTACAACATTCCAGGCAGAGCAGTGGGGTGTTCACCCAGCTGAATTGGCCAAACTCATTTCCTCCTCTTAAACTAGGTTCCCCCATGGAGATCCAGATCTGTTGTCTCCATGTAGTGTAGAATTGTCAAAAATGGCTCCAAAGTATAAGATATCAGATTAGTACATGTTCATCCATGTGTCTGAATCCGTAAAGATTATTCATTTGGTCACAAGAACATACGAATGGCCGTACTGGAGTCAGACCTATGGTCCATCTAGCCCTGTATCCTGTCTTTTGACTGTGGCTGCCGGTGCCAGATGCTTCAGAGGGAATGAACAGAACAGGGCACTTTATCAAGTGATCTATCCCATTATCCAGTCCAGCTTCTGGCAGTCAGAGGTTTAGGGACACCCAGAGCATGGGGTTGCATCCCTGACTATCTTGACTAATAGCCACTGATTGACCTATCCTCCATGAACTTATCTAAGTCCTTTTTGAACCCAGTTATACTTTTGGCCTTCACAACATCCCCTGGCAAGGAGTTCCACAGGTTGACTATGTGTTGTGTGAAGTACTTCCTTACGTTTGTTTTAAACCTGCTGCCTAATAATTGAATTGGGTGACCCCTAGTTCTTGTGTTATGTGAAGGTACAAATAATACTTCCCTATTCTCCTTCTCCACACCAGTCGTGATTCTATACACCTCTATCATATTCCCCCCTTAGTCATCTCTTTTCCAAGATGAACAATCCCAGTCTTTTTAATCTCTCCTCAAATGGAAGCTGTTCCATACCCTTAAATCATTTTTGCTGCTCTTGTCTATACTTTTTCCAATTCTAATATATCTTTTATGAGATATGGGGGGGTGGGGTGGGGAGAGAGAACAGAACTGCATGCAGCATTCAAGATGTGGGCATAACCGTAAATTTATATAGTGGCATTATGATATTTTCTGTCTTATCTATCCCTTTCCTAATGGATCCTAACATGGTTTTGACTGCCGCTGAACATTGAACAGATGTTTTCAGAGAACTATCCACACCACAATGACTCCAAGATCTTTCTTGAGTAGGAGCAGCTAATTTATATGTATTATTTTGTGTTTATAATTTTCCAATGTGCATTACTTTGCATTTATCAACATTGAATTTCATCGGACCTTTTGTTGCCCACTCACCCAAGTTTTGTGAGATCCCTTCGTAACTCTTCATAGTCAGCTTTGGACTAAACTATCTTGTAATTTTGTATTGTCTGCAAACTTTGCCACCTCACCGTTTACCCCGTTGTCCAGATCATTTATGAATACATTGAACAGCACTGGTCCCAGTACAGATCCTTGGGGGACCCCTCTAAATACCCTTCTCCACTGTGAAAACTGATAATTTATTCCTACCCTCTGTTTTTTATCTTTTAATCAGTTACTGATCCACGTGAGGACCTTCCCTCTTATCCCATGACTGCCTACTTTGCTTAAGAGAGTCTTTGGTGAGGGACCTTGTCAAAGGCTTTCTGAAAGACCAAGTACACTATATCCCCTGGATCACCCTTGCCCGCATGGTTGTTGACCCCCTCAAAGAATTCTAATAGATTGGTGAGGCATGATTTCCTTTTACGAAAGCCAAGTTGACTCTTCCCCAACATATCATGTTCATCGATGTGTCTGATAAATCCATTCTTTACTATACTTTCAATCAAATTTACCTGGTGCTGAAGTTAGGCTTATCAGCATGTAATTGCCAGGAATGCCTCTGGAGAGGCTTTAAAAAAATCTGCATCACATTGGCTATTGGCCAGTCATCTTGTACAGAGGCTGATTTAAGCGATAGGTTACATACCATAGTTAGTAGTAATGCAATTTCATATTTGAGTTCCTTTAGAACTCTTGGGTGAATACCCTCTGGCCCTGGTGACATCTTAGTGTTCCACACACAGTGTTTGTGGTACAACTATTTTGTTTAGGTGTGTGATTTTTTTTTAAAATGGATACAACCCCTGAAGTGGATGCAGTTGTACTGAAATAAGGTGCTTTGTGCCAATATATCTTATTCCCCTTCTGATATGGGAACCAGAACCTTCATATTGGTATAATTCCATTCACAATGGAGGTGTGGGGAGGTCATACCACTTTAATGACACCAGTATAGTTAAAACAGCATAACGTGTGTACTATTCAATGTAAGGGCTCATCTACATGCACAATATTTCGGCCCATTAAAGGTATCTTAACAAGTCAGAACAATACATTTCTTTCATAAGAAGTAGTCTTCTCTCTAATCTTAGAGAGATTTGAGGAGGTTGGTCTAGTGGTTAGAGCAGAGGACGGGGAGTCAGCACTCCTGGATTCATTCTAAAATATTTTTTCTGATTGTGGCTCACAACCAGGTAGCATGATCTAGTGGACTGATCACAGAAGTGGGGAAATGGGAGCTGCCAGTGTTCTAGTCTGGCTCCGACACTGAACTGCTGTATGACCTTGGACAAGCATCTTAACCTTGCCTCAGTTAACATGATTATTTAAAAAAAAAGGAGGTCTGATCATGTTTACCTGACAATGTTGTTATGAGGCATCATTAGCTAGCATTTGTTATGTTAATTTGATATGTTCAGGGGCAGTACAAGTGAAGAATTTGGCTGCAGGTGGGGTTGTTTTTTTTAAGTACCATTTTTGTTTCACAGAACATGGACCCAGGCTGAGGTTACCACTAGGAACCTATTTATTATTTAAATTCTTGTAGCACCTAGGAGCCGCAGTCATGGACCAGAAGCCCATTGCACTAGGCACTGTACAGACACAGAACAAAAAGACAGTCTCTGCTCCAAAGAGCTTACAATGTAGTTGCAAGACAAGAGATATCAGATGGATACACACAGACCAATGGGGAGTACAAGGAAACAATGAGACAATATTGGTCAACACAATAGGCAGTGGTATCAGCACAGCACTTAAAGGAGCTAGGCACCTAACCCCATTGAAAGCCAAGTCTGCCCCCACCCTCACCCTATTTCCCAGTCCATCCCTCCGATTCCAGCTCTGTATACTATGGACTCCAATGGAGTTAAAAAGAAGGTCCCATTTTTCTCCCCAGATGTCTCGGTTTATAGTTTGCCACTAATGACAGGTATGATGACCTAGCAAAAACAAACCCCCTTTTTATTCTAATAACTAATTTTGTTTAAGGAACCTGCCGTTTGCCAATTGCTTAATAAAACGTCACTAGAACAGCAGCTCTTATCATACTCAGATTAAAAAAAAAAAAAAAAGTCTCAAGTATAATTTACAGCATTCCATGCAGTTATTATAACCATCAGTGTGCTGCTCAGATTAGTCTCCAAGTTAAAGATTTGTAAGACGAGGAAAACCAGAGAAACTATGGAGATCAGCCAACTATTTATTTTATTGTTACTAGCTCCAATAGTAAAGATGAGTCCCACCCCTTGATTCGAACACTCCTGCACTGTGTGGGTGTTTGGAATGCAAACCTAGGTCCAGATCCAAGTTTCACACATCTCCTGTCTTTATAAACAGACCACAAAAAAATAAACCCAAGCCGTCCGGAGCCTGGAAACAGATCGGAGTTTTGTGACTTGTGCCCATTTCTGTACAAACACCAATGCTTATTATATTATATTAATACACACACACACAGAGGCACAGCACTTAATTACGTACTGTTTGCTTAGCCATCATTTTGCCATAGGCAAGAGGAGGCAGCTCTAAATACAGTTGATTTACATTTGTTTCCTGTAGGTTTATAGAAAAATCTGAAGGTGGTTCCTCCCTGCGAGTCTCTGTAGTCTGGTGGGTGCCAGAGAAATGTCACTGTAAGTACAGACTCAGAGGTTGATGAGTCAAGTACATTCAGCCTTTAAAAGTCTGTGTCTCCTCTTAGCCCTGTTTATTTTTTCCCCACTAGGACAAAGCAGAAAGCAACCAATATCTCACTGACCATTGGTTCCTCAGCCAGTGAAGTCTCTAGCAGCAATACAGCTCTCAGAGTTACTCCACTTTAGTTCAGCCAGCATCTGTTGACCCTCAAAGAGTAGGTTATACATTTATTAATTTTATTTACAGTATTTTAAAGCAATTTAATGGTCAGCTCTTGAGTCCATTGAAGCCAATGGCCAAATGGCAAATCATCTTCATCAGGACCCCCTGAAAGGAGGGGTTTCTTTATTTGTTCTGCTGCCTTAGAACTGTCTTTTCTGAAGGGAACCTAAATAAGTTGATGGGGGGGGTTAGAAATAGAGTGGCTGCCACATAGCTTAACCATGTGTCATACTCCTTCAAAGGCGCATTTCAGAAAGGACAGTTGGTTTAGAGTGGCTACTAGCTGTAGAGCTGGGGAATTCCAAACATCCAGGGACTGGATTCACATTAAACTGGGGTGAGGGTAATGACAAAGAACGGGACCACAGCAAAAAACACACACATTTCAACTATACATTAACAATCCCAAGCAACACAATCCCAAAACTAATTTCCCTGAGCGTGGATGTCAGTGGGTAGCAGTCAGCATTCCGTGTAACTCACCCCAATGCTTCTTTCACGTTCAGTCTTCTTTCACACAGAAAGTGTGGTTTAGAAACCCAATACGTCCCAGTCCTGCCATCTTTGCTCGATCTAAACACAGTGAGTCACAGTCCTGCAGCCCTTCCTCGCTCTTTACTTCTGCTGAATTTCAAGAATGGGGTAAGGACTGGACACCAGATTCCATGCTGTGTCACACATGTGCAGCCACACTCACTGAAGTCAATTGGGTTGCCTGGATGTAACTGAGGGCAGAACTGATCTCTGCATAAGGACTGCAAGATTTGGCCCATAAATTGGCTTAACAGCTCTCTGACCACCACTTATTCCTGCATGGCTATAGGCCTTCCTTCCAATAACTTGCTGATCGCAATCCAAGGAGGCATTTTCTTCTGGAGCACTTGAGCAGAGACTATCCACAGAATAGTCGGTAAGCTGATGCATGAGTAGCAGATAAACTCAGGAATCTCCTCTCATTTTAATTCAGGACCTGACCTACTGGGTTTCTGCACATGAGAAATGCTAGCCATGATTAGAGCTAGTCGGGAATTTTTTGGTAGAAAATATCAGTTTATCAAAACTGAAATTTTTCATGTGAACATGGTAGTTTCAACTAAACTTTTCTCAGGAAAAGTTTCTCAGGTCCATCTTGGAATTTTCGCTCCAAGCCAGAGAGACTTTGACCCATCACAGAATAGTCAAAAAAGCCTGGAGATTAAAGGCATTCATGTAGGACACAGGAGGACACAGGTTCAAAGTCCCTTCTGAACTAAGCAATGCTAGGTCTTGAATCTGGAGCTCTCACATTCTGGGAGAGTTTCCTAACCACTATGCTATAGCCTGCTGTGAGAAGCACATTTGTAATTTTTTCACAAAAAATGACACAAGTTATCACTTTCATCCCAATTAAAGAAAGATTCTCGTTTTTGCACTCGAGGAGTGTTGCAAGACAGGAAAACCATTTCCCATCCAGCTCTACCCTTCTTTCCTATGCAGCTACAGAGCCCATCTACAAGCCAGCCTGGGTCTACTTATGGAATCGCCTGCGTGTTTACAAAGGGAACAGCACAAACCTCAACAATATATTCTCTCCACACCATCTGGGCATGAACTACTGATGTTGGGCCTTTGATTCTCCTCTTACTTCTGGACTGCAAGATATTTGGGGATGGAATATCGCTTATCTTAAATGTCATAAATGTCATGTCCGTTTGGTAGTGCTATATGATCAACTACATCATAAGGTGTAAAGGGTCCTAGTTTAAATGGAACCGTTTACATAAATCAGTTCCATTGATTCTCTACAAAGGAGGCTTAAGGGTGCATGTGTATCAGGGTATCTACAGATGTGCCTCAGTTAAATTACTCTGTTTGCCTAGATGATTTTTCTCCACATTTTTAAAGATGTAGGGAAAAGTCTATCACGTATTCATGTAAGATATTGCTCTTTACAAAACAAACTCCAACAGCCAGAGACAATGCGTGTGTGTGTGTGGGGGGGGGCACACACAGTCATGTCGTCCCTCCCCAGCCCCCCCGATTTCTGCCAGGGTTTATATGCCCTGCGCTGAACCCCACTGAACACCAGAATCTTTAAATCGTCGTCCCTTCCCGTCCTGCCCCCTCCGCCAAGTGTCAACAGTTATGCATCATCTCTGCCAGCACCCACAATCCACCAAGAATTACATGGAATCTAATCAATTACACCCCTACCCCAATATAATGCGACCCGATATATCACAAATTTGGATAGAACAGCATTCGGGGGGGGGGGGGCCGCTGCGCACTCCGGCGGATCAAAGCAAGTTCGATATAACACGGTTTCACCTATAATGCAGAAAGATTTTTTGGCTCCCAAGGACAGCGTTATATAGAGGTAGAGGTGTACTTTAAAAAAAAAAAACCCCAACATTTCATTTAGCTACATTGTATGTTCATAAATGTGTGTGTAAAAAACACTAAGCATTTGCCATTTAACTGTGTACATAACAAAAACCTCAGCCATTTCACACAGTTTTTCTTCCTCCAGAGTGTACAAAACATCTGGGCCACAAAGGGTCAATTAGTGGTGTTTGAATGTCAAATACAGACCAGGCTGACTCTGCAAGTTCGCTGGTACAGAGAATATAATCAGATCATTGATTCTGCAGACTTCCGAATACTAAGAAAAAGTAGGTATTTATTATGCTCACCAGATGTACAGCAATTTCATTCATGTCACAGACACATTCGTGGGATAGTAATAAGATAGGAACCGAGAGCTATTACAAGATCAGAAGACAGCTGTGCATTTATATAGCAAGAATACAGCCTGAAAATACCAAATCGTTTAAAGAAACAGAATGACATATTAGGTCTCCCCTTTCATTCCTCAGTGAGAGGACATCAGACATTTGAACTGCTCATCATGTACAAAGAGTATTTTTCAGGAAAATAACTGCAGGAGTTTCGGAACCCATTAGAAATGGTCATTACAAAATATCATGACAAAGCATCTATTGATCAATAATATCTTCAGCGAATGACTACTGATTAGCAGCAGAAATTAAAGAGACAAAACGTGAGCATATTCCCACATAGGAGTTCGCAGACGTAATGGGTCAAATTCACTCCTGGTGTAACACCGCTGAAATCAACGGAGTTATACCAAGACTGAATAAGGATCCTTACATGCAAACACACTGGAGAGAACCTTGAGCCACAGAGTTCAGACCTCTGGATATGAATTTCTTCTTACATCAACATGTGTCCAAGGCCAGGCCTATCTCCAATATACCCACACTTTCAGATGCTAAAGATGCTTGGCTTCCTGCCTCACTACATACACCTTGCCCATTACTCCTTTCTCTCTATTTGTCATGTCATACAAATGCCTGGGGCCAAATTCTGCTCCCAGTGATGTTGGTGTAAATCTGGATTAACTCCACAGAAGTCAGTGGAGTGACACTGGTATAACAGAGCAGAATTTACCCCATGGTGCTGTACTGGAGACACAGAACTGGAAGTCAGGGCACCTGGATTCCATTCCCCTTTCAGATTTTGGGCAAGTTCCTTACAGTCTTTATTCCCGAGTTCTCGCATCAGTAAATTGGGGATAATAATGCAACCTATCCCATATGTAAGCTAAATTCATCAATATCAGGAAAGCGTATAGCAATTCTTGGATGGAAAGTGAAAAGTAATTACCTTCTTAGATTATTTTCTTTCTGAAACTTTACTAAAAGGAAGAGATACACTGAAAATAATTACGGTTAAAACAAACAATTCTGTATTTTAGACTGGCTTGATGAACTCATGGAGAATTAAAAAATCATATTATTTAAGTTTGGAGCTCCAGAAACAGAAGACCACCAGTACTGCATTTTTCTCTTGAGCTACGAGATGACACTGAATGAGAGACAGATGAAAAATGTTCCTTGTATATGAAATCTCATCCTAAAATAACCTGTTTCCCTACCCTTGCTGTCCCTGCTAGTTTGGAACCCCCTCTGGTACCGGCCGGTCCCCATTGCCTTTCCTCCTGCAGAGCCTGTCTCCCCTCCTGGTGCTCAAGAGCACTATCACCAAAAAAAGGTATGGTGCCTTTACCATGCCCCTAGCTATCCCTGTTTTTTCCCAGTACCGAACAGAAGGATGGCCTTATATTGTGGCAATGCCTGCTGATGCCGGTCTGTGCAGTGGGGCGAAGCCGGCCATTCATACCGGGAGCACCAGAGAAGGTGGACAGGAATTGGCATGCCAGCCAATCCGATCATCCACAATGGTCCTAAGGATCTTCAACAATGCAAGTTAACAGTTCTCTGACCTGCTCCCCTTTGGGTTGCTGTTGGGCACTCACATGGCAGAGTCAGAAGAATCCCTCAAGCCACTTACAACAGCATGCAAAACTCCCTTTGCTCACTCCAGGAGGAAAACAACAACACTCCCCAGTTGTAAAGTGACCAAAGTTCAGTCATAAAATGCGATACGGCATTGGAATGACTCTATTCAAGCCACAAACTTTCTGTTCAGTTTTGAGCTTCTTAGGAAAGTGGTGCAGATGGGACAACAGGAAACAAAGGAGTTGTTAAATATGAAGTCATATTTAAATGACTTCAATAAGGATATTACACTTTCAGCTAGGATGTAAATCAGAGGGAATGGTCACTTGTGGTCAGAGTTCCCCTGGCATCTCTTAACAGGAAGAATGCGATCGTCAGCATCCTGGGAAATTTCCAGTTTGGGGTATGTACCTGCCTCCTCAAAATTCCCCCTGTAGTTTCAGTTTCTCTCCAAATCATGTGCATTGTATTGTTGCACAGCGTAAAAAAAAAAAAAACAAAACCCACTGTTTAGTTTCACCCACGAGGTGGCTCAGTTTCGCTTTAGATAAGATAGAACTTCCTCAGTGAGTGAAAGTATTCGTAGATGTGTTTATGAAGTTCTTTGGAGTGCCCTCAGCCTGGAAGATGCTATATCAGGCACTACTGATTTTGCCTGAGCAATTAGCAATTATACTTTGCAGGAGCAAAAGAGATGGAAGAGTGTGAAACCTTTCCCCATATGCAAGCTACCATGAAGAAAGCCTCGTTACCGAGCAAAAGCCAGAATGCGGTAAAGGAAAGAGATCTGGCTACCAAGCCCACATGTAATGTGCTGCAAAAGACCCCAGACCCAGGCAAGCAAGGGGAATGTGTAAATTCTGGACGGCAGACTCACCAGGTTGAAATGGAAGAATTTCATGGCATTTATGAAGACTCTCCCAAGACTTCATCTGCTTAGTAAGGCAAAGTGGACAGCATAGCTGTACTTAAGTCCATTGTATGGCTGCCTGTTTGTGTGCGCACATGCACAGTTACCGGACTGTGGTCACAAATGCCCATTTGCATACGTAACCCACTGGTGAGCATGTGTGACAGGTCCCTCTCTATGCTGATCTCTAGGGGAGAAGAGTTTGATGCAGCCTGAGCTAGAGAGACTTGGCTCTTTAGGTCAATCTGTATCAACTCATGCCTTCAGCTCTGGAGTTCAATCTCTCATGTGTTGTCCAGAAAAGCAGTCATCCCCCATACACAAGTTCCCATGTTTAGCACAATTCCACTGCTGCGTGAACTTGGAAAACATGGCCCAGAGTTCAGAC